GCCGAGATAAACTACACTGCTGATGAACGTGAGGTTCTCGTAGTAGTTTATGCCGCTCGGCACTGGCGGCACTACCTGCACGGGGCACCATTCACGGTGCGCACGGACAACTCTGTTGTCCAGGCTTTTCTGACGAAACCGAAGCTCACTCCTCGACAGGCTCGCTGGTGGCGCGACCTATCCGAGTTTAGTTTCACCACTGAGCACATCAAGGGTGAGACTAATCGGGTCGCAATTGCCCTATCCCGGCGCCCTGACCACGGCCAGGAGCAGATCCAGCTCTCTTCCATCTCGGTCACCACCGTCCACCACTCGGTGATCGACGAGTTTCGCACTCAGTACCGCCACTGCCCCGACTATCGCGACATCCACGCGACCCTTCGGAGTGGCAAGACTGTCCCGAACTACTCTCTCGGGGACAACGGTCTCGTGTACTGGCACAGTTCTCAGGGCACCAGAGAGCCCCGTATTTGCGTTCCCTCCACTGGACAGCTACGTGTCCGAGCAGTAGCAGAGTTCCATGACCAGGCAGCCGCCGGTCATATGGGCTTCCACAAGACGTTGGCTCGTGTGAGCCGCCTGTACGTCTGGCCGGAGCGCAATGACTTTGTGAAGGACTACGTCGCAGAGTGTCCCACCTGTCAGGAGGTGAACAGTGCGAACCACCTACCTTATGGTTTGCTCCAGCCTCTTCCTATCCCTGAGGGTTGTTGGCAGTCCATCTCGATGGACTTTATCGRTCCTCTTCGACCTCCGACCCCCCGCGGTCATCATGCTATCCTGGTCGTTGTCGACCGCTTCACGAAGCGTGCACGCTTTGTTCCGTGCTGCTATGCCATCTGTGCACGTGAGGTCGCTGACATCGTATTTGACCAAGTCGTGAGTGACCACGGCGTACCTCTGAGCATCATATCTGACCATGACCCGCGCTTTACCAGCCGATTCTGGCGACGGCTCCACGAGGTGTACGACACTCAGCTCCGCTTCTCCTYGTCTTACCATCCTCAGACTGATGGTCAGACCGAGATCACGAACAAGACTCTCGGAGATATTCTCTGAAAGATTGTTCGTGACGACCAGCAGTGGGAYCTYCATCTTGCCCACGCGGAGATAGCCTACAACCACGCCGTCTCGCCAGCCACGGGGATGTCGCCTTACTATTGCGACCTCGGTTATCACCCTCGTGTTCTCGCGGACTTTCTTCGACCGTCACAGATGCACCCCGACACGAGTTGTCCCGCGCTGGATGATTGGGTTGCACACATGACGTCGATCATGAAGACACATAGCCGCTTCCCAGACTCGCATGGCAGCACGTGCGAACCGATTGAGGATGGACCATCCATTCAAAGTTGGTGATGATGTGCTTATCGACGCCCGCCACTTACAGCTCGAAGCGGACACGCTTTGCAAGTTTCGGCGTCGCTTCTTTGGCCCATGTCGCATCCTCCAGGCCGTCGGTTCTGATACGACATCTAGCCTGGTCAGCCTTCGTGTGAAGCTGCCCGACTACCTACGCCAGGCTCGTGTGCATGATGGCTACCACATCTCGTTACTGCGTCCTTACCGCAGACCGTCTGAGCGTTTCACTAAACGACCATACGAGCGCCCTCCAACCCTCATGGTGGACGACCATACGAGCGCCCTCCACCCCTCATTGGTCGCCGAGTCACCGATGACAACCCTCCCCACGTCGAGTATCTCGTACGTTGGAAGGGTTACCCTGATGAGGAGGCTACCTGGGAGCCCCTCGAGCACTTGCAGCACGCTCGCATGTTGGTGCGTGCCTATGACCGTGCTCGTTGTGCTGGGTTCACTGCTCCTCCTCTGCCCACTGACCCTCCTCCTTCTCCCCTGGCTGAGGCGACCGCTGAAGTCGAGCCTGCTCCATCTGAGGCAGACCTTCAGCAGCAACCGGATGCTTTTGAGCGTCCACAGCGCACTCGTCGTCGTCCTGCTCGATACGACGATTGACTCAGACTTACCTTCCCACGTCCTTGACTTCTCAGTACTCCATCCACTCCAGTTTTGCTACTTCAGCTCGTCGACATTACGACTCTTCGTCGACGACATTCCGGACTTCTCATCGTGGACGTCATCGGCAGCTTCATGGACTTCATCACGATCAACTCTGCCTATTTCAGACGTCGCCACTCTCTTACCACTCTACCCTGTACAGTACCCTGCTTGTGTCGCATGATGGTCTCCCTTTAGCCGGGTTCCTCTCAGTTGGGCTCTCCCTTGGTATACGCATAGGCATCGGGACCATAGCGTTACCCTGGCTTCCCATCTTACGGATCTAGCTCCGCCTTCCCCACCTTAGGAGTCATCTCCATGATTCCCTTACCCATCACCTTCCTACCCTCTGCCGGCCCTCACGCCCTAGTTAGGCAGCCCGGCATGCTTCATCTAGGTGCGCCTAGTATACCAGGCTCCCTTGTTCCCGTGCATGGTCGACCCTCCATAGCGGTCACCCCTTAGTCGAGCTTTACCCGCCCTGATGGTCTATCTGTTGGGGTCATTGGTTCTGTTCGCTCCCAGTTCCCTACCCTAATTGAGCGTGATGACATGTGTCTCCCTGTTATCTATGTGTGGATGCCCTTAGGAGTTTTCGACCCGTAGGCTGCATTCGTCACGCTCAGAGACCATCCCACCCTTTGGTTTGCGACACACTTCTCATGTGACATATGGTTGTCTTGTTGATTGCTTTGATGCTCTCAGACTGAGGCTACTGCCTCCGACATTTCTAGGATTTAGTTGTTCTGCTTTTGCTGTTCTTAGGACTTATACACTAGTCAGTTGTTACCAGACTGAGGCTAGTGCCTCCAACATTATAGGATCTAGTTGTCACTGCTTTCTGCTTTCCTAGGACATGTATGCTAGTTAGTTGCTTTTGCTTTCCTAGGACATGTATGTTAGTTAGTTGCTTCTACTTTCACTTAGGCTGTTAGCTGTGACGTTGCTGTTTTGTGACATTTTATATCCTAGGTTGCATCGCATGGACTCAGCACGGAGCTTGCTCCGCACCCTAGACTACTCAGGTTTTCTTTTCTTTGGTAGAGTTTCGCTTCTTGGCGGAAGCATGTTTGTATCTAGGCGATCCATCACAGGCCGAGGATCGTGTAGCGGACCTCGGGTTGGCCTGTGAGACCAGCCCCTTGGCCTGTTCTCACAGGTCTGTGTTGTATTCGGGGTAGGCCAGTCCAGGCCGATACCTCTGTCGGTACCAGCCGGTCTAGTCCAGTCTCGTCAGTCCGCTGGGGTATACCCCAGCCATTGTCTGTTTTCAGTCTCATTCTTCACTTGCACATTTTGGAGTACGTGCGTTCGAGTCTTGCATGGGGAGCTGCGTTGTGCCATCTCGCTCCCCCCTTCTTCCTCCTTCTCCATCTCTGTCACTAGCGGAGCACCACACCTGGTGGGTCCGCTACAACAGCAGCGCCAGATTCATTTTGATGTAAAAGAGGCCGGCGGTGGTACCGCTGAAGTAGCGAATGAGGACCCACGTATACGATTTTGAAAAAGAAGGGCCCTACCAGTTCATGAATCTGTCGCAGAAACAGCGCCAAATTCATAAACTGCTAAAAATAGGCCCAGGGAGATGTGGCCACGGCACGAAGGCGCTTTCACCTAGGGGAAAGTTGTTTGAGCCGGTAGTACCAAACGGCCAAGTTTCGAGCGCCCAAGACAGGAAAGGTTTTGGCGTGGGCTCTTTTTACCAATTATCCCAATGGGGATGGAACCCAAGACCTCCTGAATGCCACTTGCGTGCCTTACCAACTGAGATAGGCCACTGGATTTTTGTTTTTTTGTGCCTGAGGCTTTTTTTGTTTTTTGTTTTTCGCGCCTGCTTATGCCACGGCCGAGCTGTCTTGTGACGCCCAACCTCACGCCCAATGCGACTTCCTGATCGGAGTGGGACGGGGGCCCGGAAGTGCGGAGAAGGGGGTGTGCCAAGGATTTTAGGAAAGTGGGGGTGGAGTCTCAGGTCGGAACTGAGATCTCCTGTGGCAAGTGTCAGGGGTAAAAGCACAAGAGGGGATATGTAGGTCGTGCCTTGGCGCTTTAATCCTTGTGAGAAGGTAGGTAGACCACCTCTCGTGGTTTATGCACAGCGGGAAAACTGCAGATGTCCTGCAGCATAGGGCAGATGGCATGTACAGTGCATCCCAAACCAAAGTTCCCGGGGTACTCTTCTACAACCCCAGCGTCGACAGATCTAAACGCTCTTGCATTCTCGAACAAAATCCCCATAACATTGCCCCTGCCAACGAATCCTAATTTCACCAGCTTTAAACCTGAAAATGGAAATCACCATCGCCCTTGGTTTCACCTTCGGGGTGGATCGCGTGGTTCGGCCAATTGTCGGTGCCGCTCATAACAGGCTTCGGATTCTCTTGAGGTGGGCCGTAAACGGAGGTTGTGCACTCGCCGCTCGGCTTCGGTTCGAGTCTGTCGGGTAATTCCCGAAGCTCGGCAAGCCCGCCGCCCGGTAATGCTAGCAACCTTCGCACGACGAGCTGGGCCAATAGCGAGCTATGGAATTCCACGGAACCAATGTGAGTTGGTGATAGGGGAGGAGGAGATGGAAGGGAGGGAAGTTGGTGGTGATAACGACGAAACCCAGGGATATGTAGTATTGAGTATTGTCCGTATCGGGGTAGTCTGGGCCTCTAGGATCGCTGCTTATAGCCCAGTGGAAATCCCCCGCGCATGAGAGAAGGTTAACAACAGTCGTATTTTTCATCACCACTTCAGGACACCCTTCACCACTTCAGGATGCAGTCTGCCTAAACAGGTGGTTTTCAGGTCTTCGGAGCTTTCACCACTTCAGGATCATTCAGGTCTGAAAATCCTGAATGGTCCTGAAGTGGTGAAAGCTCCGAAGACCCTGAAAACCACCTGTTTAGGCAGACTTCATCCTCAAGTGGTAAAGGGTGGTTTTCATGATCTTCGGACCTTTCACCACTTCAAGACCATTCAGGATTTTCAGACTGTCCAAAACTCTTACTTGACCACTTCAGGACACCCTTCACCACTTCAGGATGCAACCTGCCTAAACAGGTGGTTTTCAGGGTCTTCGGACCTTTCACCACTTCAGGACCATTCAGGATTTTTAGACTGCTCAAAACTCTTACTGCAGAATTTTCATTCCTGAATTTTCAGCTACCCGATAACCACTTGTGCCGCGCATAGTCGGTCGTGTTCCGTTAGATAGGGGAATTCCCGGTATCTCAAGTTTCCCCGTAGTCTAAGTTGTTCGCCTTCCCAATACTTGCGATATTCCGGGTTCCTCAGGTTTTCGTAGCCGGATGCCCAGGAGGGAGATGTCGCAGCCATGTCCGTTTAGTAAGCCGAATCCCCCGCATCCTTACACGGGGTTAAGGCTGACTCACGCGGACGAGCGCCTACGTGGCGACTCAACTTTCTCGAGATCGCGATCGTGCGCGTGTGTACTCGTAAGGAACAACCGATTGGTTCCGGTTACGTTCAACATAAGTGCAAATATCCTACCAATCACTACATGTCATACATGTGACGTCGAAGGACAATCAACTCATCACAACACTTCCAAGTGTTAACGACGAGACCCCAGACATCAAGATGAGCATTTCCAATCAGTTCTGAGTGCATAACTCCCGCAAGTGAACATTGGTTAGAGACGAAACCGGCATCGCAAAAAAGAGCTAGAAATCCGAAAAGATCACTAATAAAAGAGAATCTACATTCATTTCATGCATGCATACCGAATGAATCACAGGAAAATCCGAGACGATGTACAAGCGAAGTTCAAAAGAGAAGGGCCGTGACAACAAAATCGGTCATTCCAGGATCCAAAAATTGTACAGATGAACAGGGGAAGAAGGATACAACAAAAAAAAACCTTATCCCGTACCAACACAACCTCTCTCTCTCTCTCTCTCTCTCTCTCTCTCTCTCTCTCTCTCTCTCTTTCTCTCTCTCCCGATACCGCCAGTCCGTCGCCGCGTATCAACGTAAAGTTGTCATCCCTCGTAGTTCAAGCATGCAAGCTAGGTTCGCCCGTGCGCCACAATCTGTCGCGGCCCCGCACGTCAACCTCGCATACCCGACACCAACTCGTCGGATCG